CAGATTAAAATCTTCAAATCTTCATCAACAGTCGATCAAAATCTTCAAATCTTCATCAAAGTGAGAGTCGAGTGAGAGAGACAATGAGATTCGAGTTAGAGAGAATAGAGAGTCAAAAGAGAGAGTTAGGCGAGAGACAAATTTTGAGAGAGAGAGAGAGAGAGAGAGAGAGAGTTCAGATTTGAGAAATAAGAAAAAAAAAAGGGGACATAGGTCAAGTTTGACATGATTTGGGTTTTATTTTATTTTATTTTATTTTTTTAAGTTGAACATGGGTAAAGTAAAATGAGATTTTGATGTAAAAAGTGATTTTTTTGTGACGGAAAAATAATCAGTCACAAAAAAATAGACGCAAAAAGTCATAATTCTAGTAGTGTAAGATGTTCATTAAGGAAAATTTGTGAGTCTAACCATCACATCATACCATATAGAAGCAAAAACTAGATGGTAACACAACAGTACCTTTGACTGCTTCATGAACTCATTCATGACCCTTTTGCAATAATCCTCACAAAAGGAAGTAGTTTCACATCATACCAATAAAAATGAAAGCATATTAGTAACGCAAAAAGTCATAATTCTAGTAGTGTAAGATGTTCATTAAGGAAAATTTGTGAGTCTAACCATCACATCATACCATATAGAAGCAAAAACTAGATGGTAACACAACAGTACCTTTGACTGCTTCATGAACTCATTCATGACCCTTTTGCAACAATCCTCACAAAAGGAAGCAGTATCACATCATACCAATAAAAATGAAAGCATATTAGTAATCTTCCTGTACAAAGTTTACTTTATTAAAAAAAAAAAAGGAAGCAGTATCATTATATTATATGTTAGTGTGGAGGATTTTATTTGAGAAGCAATAGGGTTGCCTTCATAAGAAATCCATCATCAAATGCTTTTCGCTCATCATATTCAAAATAGGTGTTTTGTGGTGCACATAGTGATTGGCCATAGACAATTTAAACACCCACTGTTGATTCCTAGCAAAAATTACATGTAAAAAAACAACCAATAACTTTGTCCTGTTTTGAAATGTACATACTCTCACTTGTCACCATTTATCACCTAAATTTTACATAAACTTTCCTAATCACTAGATTTTGTAATACTCACATTCAATGCATTTTGTGGCTTGCTTCCTTCTTTTTATTTATTTTTATTTTATTAATTTTTTTATTTTTTGTTGTTGTTGAGTTTGTGGTGCACCAAAGCATGTTTCCTCATCCTACAAAAGAAATCAACGACAATTCTAATCTTTGTGCTTCTAGTACATATAGAGGAATTTGAAATTTCTTTGCTATTGGGCAAAGATCAATCAACTGGAGTATTGTCTAATTCTTGTAGAGGTTGAACAACTTTTGGGACCAAAAGAAAGAGAAATTTTACAATAGAATGCAACTCCTAACCTGGGTAAAATATCAACAGTAAGTGGTCAAAGTAATGAACATCCTATTATTGAATAATTTTTTTTTTTCCATCTCTTCCATGGGTGTGACAGTAGCCTCTTCTAGTAATTACCTGCTTCTTGGTTAGTATTATTAACTAGAGAGTTCATTCGTATTTATTTGTTACCTCAGTATTTTTCCTGTGAAAAAGGAATTGAAATGCACATTTTGTTGCTGATTAATAGGTTAATTAATCTTGTAAACTCTCGTGACTCTTTTATCTCAGGTGAAATGGAACCCTTTCCATTCTCTAGGGCTTGCGGGATAGATACATTACATGGACATGTTACTTGGAAATGGGCTTCGCATTGACCTTGCTGATAAGGTAAGACTTGTCAATTTCTCAATTCCATGCTTTCAATACTAGAATTGGGGAAATATATATTTACACGGAGCAAGTAATATTCAACTAAACTAGTTTGCTTCGGATTCATATGTCTATGTATACACAATCAAAACAACCAAATATTCAGCTAAACTATTTGTTTAGGAATCAATCAGCACAAACATCAATTAATATCCAGCTAAACTAGTTTGCCTCAATTAATATCTAGCTAAACTAGTTTGAATGAATTACAATGAGAATGAATGATCGAATTACAGTGAGAATGAGAGTTAGATTGAATGAATGATTCGAAGAGACTCACTGAGAGAGAGAGAGAGAGAGAGAGAGAGAGAGAGAGAGAGAGAGTTCATACCATTGGTGATCTATAGAGCGAAATCAATCACAAGCAATCCTACAGTTTTTGAGAATTGATCACAACCAATTTCTTCAGACGATCGAGCGAGCGAAATCAGATTTCATGATAGAGCGAAATCAGATCCTTCATCACAACCATGGTCTTTTCTTCAGAAGATAGAGCGAGCGAAATCAAATTTGCGGAAAATCAGTCAGGAGTGTGAGAGTGAAAAGGGTTAGGGTAGAGGTATAAGAAAAGGCCAAAATAAATAAAAGAAAAAATTATCATGGTTGTCAGTGAAAATATTATTTTTTGCGATGGTCAAATGCTTAATCGCAAAAAATCAGTCGCAAAAAGCCACTTTTCTAGTAGTGCCACTGCCTACTTGTGGGAGCCTAAAGCCAAGACAAAGCTCTGTACCTATAAATGTTGTTGAACAATACCATAATTTTTTTCATTCCATGAATTTGTTTTTTGTGCATGCAAGGGAAAATCAATGTAAGTTTCGCATTAGCATATATAGGTTGACATGTCAAATTCTAACACTATTAGCAAACCAATATGTTTTATGAAGCACAAGTAGACATCATACAGAAATTTTAAACTCAAATGTCATGGTCGAATGAGCATATAATTTTGTATTTATTAGCTACGATTCCAATAAATATTTTTAAAACATAAAAGCAAAAAGAATGCCCTATATTGAATGGCTGGTGTCGAATTTAGATTATTCTATCATTTTTTTCCACAATATTATCTTTGGCAAATATTATAATCACCAATATAGATATCTTAATTATAATAATAGATAAGCATTGCTCTGTAAAGTCTTTTCTTGCTCACCCAACTTGCTTATCTATTATTATAATAGTGTTATCTATATTAGGGATTATAACATGAGCAATATTACATCTATTTAAAATTTAATTAACAATTTTACTAAAAATATTCATCATTGGAAGTTTGATTATTATTATTTTTGACAACCAACACTATAAGAAAAAAAAAGGTCCTATTTTAGTCGCCAAATGTCAAAATTTCACTTTTCCCGATTAAAAAGTTTAGTCGCCCGTGTTGTCGCCAATAAACGGTCGCGAATGCCTTTGGCGACTAAAACACTGTTAGTCACCAATATATATGTCTTCAGCGACTAAAGATTTCGACTAAAAATATTCACCATTGGATGTTTGATTATTATTATTAATTTTTTTTTTTTTTTACAACCAATCCCATTTGACCATTTGTATTTTTAGTAAGTTTTTTAATAAGATTGTTAGTTTGTGTAGAATTATTAAAAAAACTATACACAGATGATTAAACAAAATAGTCTACTCCAAAATTCTATGTCCTTGACCACTTTCAAAAAATAAAATAAAATAAAAATAAATCAAGGGAAGCCGAACAACTACTAAATACACCCTCATAATATGGGAGACATGATCAACTAACTATCACAAAGGGTATCAAAACTCCTTTCTGTAAGTGTTAAATCCAAGACCTCACACCATAAAAGGTATTATATAACCTCTACGCCAAATGCTTTAGTCAAATTATATATATTAAAGAAGTGAAAAAGTGAATATGACAAACAAGTACTAAGCTAATTTTGTACTTGCCATTAACAGAGTTACTATTATATTTTAGTCCAAAATCATAAAAAGGATCTTCTGCCTATATTTAAATTATAAAGAGCAAAGTGTTCCAAAATAAAATCACAAAGGTTAGAATGAATTCAACCTTTTAAATAACCGAAGTATAATTTAAAAAAAAGAAGAAGAAAGATTGTGAATAGTTTACGTTTCGTAAGCATTCTGAGAAACATAAAAATGATGACAAAATAGAATAGTCATTCATAATCTTTCAGAGAGGGTTCTATTTTAAAGGGATTTTGGTACCTCCAGCAGAGGGGTTTCTTGCTAAATGGTGTTCAAGGAGTGTTTTGCTGAAGGGGATATTCTCAACTCAGATGTTGCAAGGGGAGTTAATAGCTGGGTGGAGTTAATAGTGCAAGGGGTGATTTTTATCATTGGTTGATCCTTAGGAATATGTTTTGTCGTGGTTGTGGGTGTTTGCAGTCTTGAGGGGAGGATATCTGGTCTGTGCCTACTATGTTCATCGGTGGAATGCTGAATTGATATGGTGACGGCCATGGTGGCTGCCAGGCTGTGCTAATGATATAGAAGAGATATCTGCTTTGTGCTTGGTATGCTAAAACTGATAGCTTGAGCTCATGAGCTAAAACTGTGCTAAGTTGTGCTGGTGTTTTGTGTCATGCTAAGATGAGCTGATGTTAGTTTTGATCTGAGCATGGCTGCTGCTGCTGGCTTGTTTTGATGATCTGCCTCTTGTTAGTTATGTTGGTTTGTTTTGGTCTGCTTCTTTGTTAGTTATGTTGGTTTGTTTTGTTCTGCCTCTTGGCTGCTTAGTTAGGCTCTGGGTTGTTATGCTGTGCTATTTTTTGTTGAGTGTGCTTCTTGACTGAGGTAATCTGAGCATGGTATGGTGGTCTACTTTGTTGATATGCTGGCTTGTAGCTAGCAGCAGCATTGGTTTGATCTAGCAGCAGCTGTGCTGTTGTTGCTGTGGTGTCTTTGTCTGTTTCTTTCGTTGTCAATTTTTGGGTTGCTGGCAAATGATAGGATAGGCTTTTTGGTACCAATCTAGTTAGAATAATTTAGCTCATTGTAATGCTCTTGTATTTTCCGTTTCTTTATTGGTGTATTTTGTTTTGTACCTTGTATTTGATCCTTGCATCAATAAAGTCTCTTTTTTGCCGATTAAAAAAAAAAAAAATGAAGTTCAAAACCACCATAGAAATTTGATTAACAAAAAATTATTAGACACCAATGACAAATATTGAAACTCATTATCATAAGAAACAAAAACATGCTCCACATTTTCTTCTATAAAAAAGTAATTACAGAAACAAAAACAACTCAATAAGAAAATAATGAAATTAAAAATAAAAAATTAGAGAAAATGATACAACAATAGTTATTAACAATTACCATATATTAGCACCACATTTTCTTCTATTTTTTGTGACCTTTATTTTGTTGAAAGAAAATAAATGCGTTGCCATGGAGAAGTCATCCATGCATGCAGACGTAAATCAAAGGCCGGGCGTGAACGGCACTTTGGTTGTTGGCAACCACGAGTTTCCAGAGATGAAGCTGCCCACTGTGAATTGAGAAGCCACAGTCGCGCTAGTAATGACATGATAGCCAGGCCACTTCACCCGGCCAGCGGTGGACGAGCCAGGACCAGTGTTCATGTACTCCCCATAGTACAGAGTACTAAGAGCAAAATTTCCAGTCCAAGGCATCCATCCTGCTGGGTTAATCAACGAATCGAGAAAAGTATTCATAAAGACTGTGCGCGAGTACATCTTCCATGGCCGACCAAGGTATGTGTTGACTGTGCTCTGCACTGGTACCAAATCCGAAGCAGCGGTGACCTTGCAATTGTGGATTGAAATTCCGGTGTTTTGGTTAGGGTCTGTTCTGCCTTGTGCAGTTAGGGTGTTGGTCTTGTTAGGAGGACTACGAGCATAAATGTTGCAGTTTTGGAAAACAACAGCAGAATTTCCAAAAATAAAGTCTACAGTTCCATAAATATCGCATTCTCTAAAGAATTGCCGCAAAGAGTGGACATATAGTGTGTCTTGGTACGCTTCAAAACTGCATTGATAGAACACTGAGAGGTCAGAGCCCACTCTTAGTGCCACGGCCTGTTGTTGCACTGCTCCAGCTGTGTTCCTGACTGTGATGCCTCGTGCTATAAATGGGTCACATTTTCTGGTTTTTCTCCACAGGGCTGTGTTCTACTCATCTGGGAGGCCACCTTTCTGGGTAGGCCGACTAGCAATTGTTCTTGAACCTTTTGACCCCTGGTCGGCCGACCAGGGGGAGTGGCCGGCCGGCCACTTGAACTGGCCGGCCTGCTTATTGCTTTTGCCCTTTTTAAGTGTAATCCAGCTGCGCCAGCTGGAGACCATTTGGTGCATCCTCCATACACGTGTATGGAGGATCTTTGAATCTTCCAAGAGAAGCTTTGGCTTCTCTTCTCTATAAGAGAGGCCCTCCTCTTCATATCTAGAGGTTAGACATTTTTTACCAAGGCTTATACACCTCTCCCTCCGTTGCCACTATTCCAAGCTCCAAAACCCTAATTTCCGTGGTCCATTTACACTACAACCCTTAGCACCGTACCTCCATCATCCATTCCAGCACCTTGGAAGCCATTTGCAGAGGTTGGAAGCTCATCAACTTGGTCCAAAAGCTGCTAGAGGTCGGCTCTTCAAGGGTAAGTGCCTATTTCTCCTAAATTCACATTTTTTTTGCATGATTGGTTAGCCTTATTTGCAAGCATTTCTGTGCTTTGACCCAAAGTGTAAAGTGTCTTATTTTGATCCCCTCTTCAACTTTGTTTAAGGACACTTTGCTGTTTGAGGTCGTTTACTTCCTTGTTTGTTCAATCTCTCTTTTAGGGCTATTTTTGCATCATACTTTAACCTTACTTGTGAACATTTTCGAGATTTTTTATAAACTGGAAAAAGTCTTGTTTTGAGCTCCTCTTCAAGTTTTCTTAAGGTCACTTTTCTGTTTGGGGTTATCTTCCCCCTATGCATGCTTCATCCCTTCATGATTAAGGCTATGCATTAGAGCATTTGCATTGGCCATGGTTTGGCCTCTTAGCCACTGAAATCCAGTGGCTTTGATGCATTTTTGAAGGCCAAAATTAGAGGGGGGTGACCCCCTCTCTCCTTGTCTTGTTTGGGGATCTTTTGGGCCTTCCAAAGGGACCCTATTTTTCATACATCGAAGTCTTGTTCCAGGCCTCATTTTGTGAGTTTTGGGGTCTGCCTTAGGTCTTTCTGGGGCCCTTTTGATCATATTTTATGTCTACAATGCATGTGTAGAACAATTCCATTCAAGGCCTTTTGAGGAGGCCTTTCATCGTATGCTTCCTTGACTGATTTTAGGGCCAATTTTGTGAGTTTTAGGGCTGTCATAACTCATTTCCAGAGTTGGTTTGGTCATGCTAAGTGTCTATCTCATATGTGCTTAACAACCCCTTGAATGGCCTTCCAAAAAAGCCCCTCATTTTTGCATGCATTGGCTGCATTTTAGTGATTATTTAGGCGTATTTTGGCATGTTTAGTTCACTGTTTTTGGCTGGTTTGATGAGTTCTCATTTGCTTCATATACATGCTATGTAAACCATGCTTGCTAGCCAATATTACATGCTATTTTAGTCAATCATGTTAGCATCTTTTGGCCATGCTATAAACTAGAAATGTGCATTTTTTGGGACTGCCTTGGCTCTGTCTTTAGACTTCGTGATCAAATAATGCTTTCTTTATATAGTTGTGGTTCAATGTATTGGACTAGTTTTGAGTTTCGGGGCTTATTCCATGCATCGGGTGCCATATTTCCTTGTTTCGGGACCATTTAGCATTATGTTTCAGTGCTGAAATTTACATGTTTGAATGCCATCTTTCATCCCTTGCCATGTTTTGGTAGAGTGGCATTTGATGCCTTAGGTTCGGTCCTCGGTATGCGTGCATGTGTGCACGCATTTCGGTTGTCTCATTTTCATCTTATGGCCACTGATGTGAGTGTGGCTGAGGTCCACTCATGTTGGTGTAAGTCCATTATACATTGTGTATGCCGTTTCGTTTCACAGCATTGCGTATGCTAGGTTGCATGTTAGAGCATTGTGTATGCCATGTTACATTGAGCATTGTGTATGCCATTTCATGCCATTGCGTATGCTAGGTTGTATGTTAGTCGCATTATGTATGCCATCTCATTTGCATTGTGTTTGGGATAGGAGTTAGCTTGAACACGGGAAACGAGGTACGTTTCATACTCTGAGTGACGGAACATGTCTCAATTCCCTGTCGCCGACACTCCGGATTACCCATGATGGAGTTTAAGTCTTGTTGTGTTTTCATGTGCATTCATTTCATATTGAGTCATGCAATTCGACTCCTCGACCATCATGCATCGATATGCATGATTGGTGGCACGAGGATCGAGGACTACACTCCCTGAAGAGTTGTCATGCATATATGTGTGAAATACTTTGCCATGCCCCTTTGTTGTTCTCTGTTGCAGTAAATCAGAAATCAGCGGCCTTCCAGAGCGTTGCACAATATTCTGAAAATAATTGCAAACAGTGGCGGATCGGGGCATCACAATCGATTTCTGCGCCAGACAACTCAGGCATGCATCTCCCATCATTCGGAACAGAGCTGAGGCAGTCCATAGGCTTGCATGCTGATTTATCGCTTTCCTAGTTAATTTGTTAACTAATTAAGGTTTTGTAATATTTAATTATTCATTTCGGACTGCAACTATTAATTCAGACTGTACTATTCTTTTGGACCCTCCGAGCGAGGGCAATGTTGTAATAAGTATGCGTGAGTGTGATGTATGTCTTCCAACCCCACGTCTTTCTCCCTTTTATTTACCAGCTTATGATGGTTAGATTAGGGCATGTTTCAATTAGCATACAATATGATAGCATGTTTGCATTCATTCATCTGTCTTGCATGCACCGAGCTCGGCGCATCATACTAACTGCATTTGTATTTCAATTCCAAATTGAATACGTGTTAGCTGTAGCATTATCACATGCCATATTTAGAATAGCCGAGCCTATCTTAGTTGCATTTTGCATGTGTTGCATTAAGCATTTCTGTATAGTTAGGATCATGCATGGATTTCTAACATAGTTTCTGTTTTGGCTTGGAGTACTCGGTAAGTACTTATGCTTTAGCATCCTTGCATATGTGTGAGTGACTGCCATGATAGCATGCTTACCATGAGGCTATTTGCTTATATGATATATTTGCCTGAATGCCTGTGGGTGAAGGTTGGGTTATTTGGATTGGAACAATTCATTAAATATGAGTTTTAAGCCCACTTGAGAGTGGCAAATCATCTTGTTTTCTAAGCCCACCTGAGGGTGGCAAAATCTACATTTTAAGCCTACTTGCGAGTAGCAAACCATTTTCAAATAAACAAACATGAAATGTTTTGTTCCAATTCAAGCGACCCAATCTATACTTGTATGCTGTGCGCATCACATAGTAAATATAGGCTAATAACCGGAATAAGAACGCATAATGTTTTCAAAACTAGATATCATGGTTAGTAGAGGCCGATCTTTGATCGGGCAAGAGGAAGTGACCTTCCCCAATCATACCCAAGTTCCCGAGCCGAGGCAACTTTGGTAATGAAGGACACGTGGCCTTAGGCAACGAGTCAGGGTTTCCTAAATTTTTCAAAATTAAATATTTAGGTGGCAACTCTGTATCTAGCAAAGCAGTCCATGTTTGACACTTCTTTCATAAAATCTGTTTTCAAAAACGATTTGCCGGATTTGGACTCTTTGATAATTTCATCGGTCTTGCATTACACTCTGCGAGATTAGATACAGGACCGTGACATTGAGTCCTGAACTGTAGTGAGCCCAAATAAACAAGACGGGGGGGGGAATTCCCTCCCGGGACATTTGGGGACGTCTATAGTTTCTGGCGACTCTACTAGGGATTTAGAGAACTTGACTCGAACTCATGATATCTTGTTTTGATTACACTTATGTGTTTCTTTACATTGCATGTGCATTGGTGCACCTAGGACACCGTGTTTGCCATCTGCTATTCCTGAACGGGTTGTCGGAGGCTCGCTTCGAGAAGCGTGCCATAAGGCTGACCGGTTACGGGCTCTGCCAGTATGGGAGCACAAACCCCGGTTTTACCGAGGCACCCTTTTTTGACCATTCGACCTAGTGCATATTCGGAATCCATAGTGACCATTCCAAACTAGGACAGGTTGCTTACCCGTGTATAGGTTGTTTAAAACCGCTGCGTGCGTAGTGAAACCCTAGTTCCTGACAAAATAGGACAAGGAAACCCTACCCCAACATAGGGGTTCTTTGGCTCTCACTTGTTTGTTATGTGCTTTTAGAGTGCGCCTCTATACAAATGCATGTATCAGTTTGCAAGTTTGGGCATCAGGCCTACGGGCACCAGTTCAGTGTTTCTGGGTATCAGGCCTGCGGGCACCGGTTCAGTATATCTGGGTATCAAGGCCCTGCGGGTACCAGTTCAGTATTTTCGGAATCAGTTATCTACGGGTATCAGATTCAGCTTCAGGGACAGTGATTTGGGAGTAGTGATTTGGGAATAATGATCGGTCTTTGAGAACAGTGTATCAAATTGCGTGTTAATTATACCCGACTGTGTGTTGTGTTTATTTACGCCGTTATGCTGTCTGTTTGTCTGCTCGTTTATTTCCTTATTATTGCTTTATTTATCTTTTTGCTAGGGTAGTTTAGCACAATTGCTCCAGACCAAGCAGATATTCCTCAAGCACCCTGGACAAGAGGTCACCGACTCAATCGATCTGAGGATCTGGTCAATGGACCACCAGTGTTTCACTCTCTACCCCCGGTTATCAGACGGAGGCTGAAAATGCGCAGTGTATCTGAGCAGAGGTTGCTAGAGTAGTGGATTACCCCATTAGTGGACAGTCGGATTGAGATCCCAATTGTTGCTATAGAGATAGACCTGCCAGTAGTTTAGACAGATCAGGGCAATATGGCGGGACTGACAGGAGTTGAGGAAATGATGCGTCAGATGCAGGACACCATGAGAGCCATGCAACAGGATGCTGTTCGCTGAGATGAGTTTGCCAAACAACAGGTCGAGATCATGGCCCAACAGGCAGAGTTAATTTCCAGGTTGCAACAACAAACCGGAGAATCTACTTCACACCCGGTTCCT